GCTTTCTACTTGCATTAGCACAAACGTAGAAAATGCTGCGTACCTTAATGAGAACAGTGTCACCCCGGAAAAACTGAAGCTTTTCCATTGTTGCAGGGTGCAAAGCAACCACAGAATTATCATCGTTAATTGCTTCATCAACAATAAGACGGTTAGGAGACTTCTTGCGTTCTAATATTGCTGTTGAATAATCCTTCTTATGACTATTCCTGCACCAAACATACATTATCAACAGCATAGTGTAATTTTTTACCTATTCAACACTACCATCAGAAGGATTTATTACATTTCGTCCACAGTCTCTTTACTATAAAACTGATGTGCATAATTTGCATGCTTACAAACAAAAATGACATAGTAAAGTCACCAGCAGAATAGTACCAATGATGTTTTAAAATTAAAATAATATGACTATTGCCAAAAAAAAAGAAAGAAGAAGAAGCAGAAAACAAGACACAAACAACACCATTCAGCTTCAACTAATTACTACAGAAACTTCATGCTGCTGTAAGATCAAAGAAAATTGTTTGCTGTATAATAACATCCACGAAAAAAAGAAAAAGAGAGGAAGAGCGTAAGAGAGAGAGAGAGAGACGCACGGGTCAGAAGAGGATTGACCCTTATCAGGATTAGAAGAGGTTGTTTCAGCCATGGCTTTGTGAAAGCTTTTGCTTCGTGGTTCTTTCAAGTAGCTAGAAGTTTAGCTTTATGAGATTGACATATACATCAAAACAAAGAAGAAGAAAAACAAAAAAAAGAGAGAGAGAGGAGTTTTCCGACATGATAACAACTCCAATCAGCTGCGTTCGAGTGTCCATCAAACATTATTGGAGCAGCCACGTAGCACCTTGGTCTTCGACACTGTTGTTATGCTTTCGTGTAACGCTTTGGTGCTACCAGCACCGCATGCACACACTCGTTGTCTCCTCTGAAAAAGTTGCTCAAAAATTTGATGTGCGGATTGGTAATATCTCGTAGTAGATTGATAGTAGAAAAAAAAATAGTATTACAAATATTCCCCCTCTTAATTTATTTATAACTACAGATTAAAATATTAATAATTTCAAAAAAAATATCACTTATAATTTTTGGGTTTGGTCTTTGTCCTTCTCAAAAATATAGAATTATGTTATTTTAAGTCAGAAAAAAAATAACTTATAGAAATTATCGAAGAGAAAATGCATGGTAAAATCACTAATTTTAACAAAAATGACAGCCTTTTAAAAGTACAAAGATTTTTTCCAATTTTTTTATTACTTTTAATAATTTAAAAATAGAAATTCAAAATTGTTTTATTTATTTTTATATATTAAATTTAAATACATTCTCTTAAAAATTATTAAATTATCTTCTTGTAATTAAATTAAATATTATTTCATTTAATATATACATTTTGATTTTGATTTTGATTTAAAATAATTATGTACATTTTTATAATTTTAATTGTTCATATTATATTTTATATTTTATTTAAATTTGAAAATACCAATACAATCCAAAGATGTACTTAATTAAGAGAATGGAGAAATACTCAGAGAGGTTACGGTATGCCCTTGCCCTGAGATACCGGGCGACCTACCAAAACTTTTATTAGTTCACCAAAAAAGAGAATGGAGAAAACTTTTAGGGGTCATTTGGTACACGGATTTTTTTTCGGATTTTCGAGAAACTGAATTTTTTTTTAAATTTTCAATATTATCGTAAATTGAATGTAAAAATCATATTTTTGAAAAATCGAGATTCCTGGACAAATAAAAATTTCTCATGTACCAAAGGCCCCAGGGAATGAATTAGATTAAGATTTTAACGGGGGTGTTTGGTTGAAGAGAAATTTGTATGAATAATAGGAAAATGAGATTACTAGGAAAATGATTGGGAAGTGAGTTTGATAGGAAAATGTAAAAAAAGTAGTTTGGTAAGAAAAAAAATTACCGAAAAAATTAGTTAACTTTTGTAAAGTCTATGTTTGGCTTTTGATAAAATATAGATGAGAAAAAATATGCTTTTACTAAAATAACCTTGATTTTAAAAAAGGCTGAATCAGCCTTGCTACCCTTTACCCCTAATCATTTCCCAACGTACATAAAAGAAACATGTGAGTTGGCTGATTGTAAACAGTGGTTTACCTGGGTTTTAAAAAAAAACCACCTACAAAAAGTCTTTCTAAACGGTGCAAAAACCTATCTTTCCAAGACAAAGTTGAAAAAGCAATGCAAATGGATGGATGGGAATTTTATGTTAATCTGCTGAACCAAACATTAGCTTTCTGGAAACCTTACTTCATTTGCATAGGAAAATTTTGGAAATCCGTAAACCAAACACTACCTAAAAGATTTTTTTATGATAAATAATTTTATAGATTTTAAAATATTATTTAAAATTTGAGGAATTTTAAAAACTTTTTTTTATAATCAAGATTTCGTAAGATTAAATTTTAAAGGATTTTAATAGAATTTATAATATTTAAATGGACAATTAGATTTATAAGATTTTAAAAAATCATATAAAGTTTTAACAAACATTCAAAATTACAAGATTCAATAAAAAAATAATAAAGAAATGCAATAATATTAATAAAAAAAGTAAAACCTAATATAATTTTTTCAATAATAAAATTTATGATAAAATTCTGTTTAGAATTTTTTGCAATTGATCTTGTAAATCTTAGAATTTTTGTTATACGTGATGAAAGTTTTTTAACCATATATTATATACATGTTTTCATTGAGTATTTCAATAAAAATTTGAATTTGAATTTTTGAGTTTTATTGCATGAAAGTTTAGAAAATTTCTCAAATTATTTTCAATCGATACATTGAAACCTTAAATTGCTTTGGGACTATTGAAAAATAAGTTTTTAGTGATCTATTGACACAACAATTGTTTGAAATCATTTCCTATAGCGGAGAAATTTCGTTCATGAATGTATTGTTATTAAACATACAGTTCATATTATGAAAGTTTCAATATTTCTTTAAATCGATCTTGTTTCATTAATGTAAAACGAAAATTGGTTTAGGGGTTTTTGTTTCCCTGTTGTTTTCCAACTATTTTATGTTATTTTTAATATAAGAATCACGTATTTTTGTGCCAAGAAAAATCGCGACCAATATTTGAAAAATTATTTTTTTAACTTCCAAAAATTCTTAAAAATTGCTCAGAAATCTGTTGTTTTTGAGATGGATTAAATTAAAAACTTATTGAGTTTTTTGTGATGAAAATCTCTCAAAAACATGTTATTTTTGAGCTTTGACAAAGCTCCAATGTCAAAACCCGATTTTGAACAGGTCGACCAGCCAAAGGAAGAAGAAGACACTGCAATAGAGAAATCTCAAAACACCATAGGGATTAGGGTGAGATTGTGAGAGGATCGTCCTATTTGTATTTCTCACTATAAAGTCTCATGAAATCCACACCACACCATTAGAAAATCCATTAAAATCGTCAAATTTTTTGAATAACACAAGATTTTTTTTCGTTTGTTTAAAATCCTCATTGAATACCAACAGATTTGGACGGACTCTGAAATAATCTTTTAAAATCCTAATCGAATACCACATGACTTTTTTTCAATTCTTTAAAATCCTAGTTGAATACTAATAAATTTTTTGTCCAAAATAATCCATTAAAATGCTTTGAAATTCCAATCTAATACACCCCTTACTATTTTCTTTGTAAAATTTCAAAATTAAAAACAAAAACATCTCAATCAAGAAATGAAAAACAAATCAAACACTTTAACATATGATTACTTTCAATCATTGTTTTAATTAAAACCGGCCCCGCCTCCCGGGTTGACCTGGGTCAACCCTGACCCCTCCTCTCTGAGGGTTGGGGTCACAAGTTGGATCCTATGTGCATATCGATCCCTCCGACTCTCAAAATCCGGTCGGGTTTCAGTGACTTCTGGGTCAGAGGGGTCAAAGAGGGTCATTGCATGTTTTTCTTTAAAAAAAAATTCCATGAAACAACATTGTTTTATTAAAAAACAAAATAAAAATGCTTGCAAACCTAAATCTAATCGTTCTCTTCTCTCCTAGCGACCTAGACATTTTCAATCTTTACCTCGCTGCATGAATCTTCTAGAAAATGTAAGGATTATACCTATTCAAATGAAATCCTTACGGTCGTCGATGAAAAACAAAAACTCATTCTTACATTTTTAAATTTTCCTTTGTCAGAGACCTTATCAAAAGAGGCAGAATTGGGTCAGCGTAGTGACTCCATTAAAATATGAGTTTTGTACTTTAGTATCTTGAAACTTTAATTAAGTTGTGTAATATTGACTTGTAGTTGTAATTGGTGAATTATGTTAAGTATATTTTGAATCTTTGATGATTGGTGGTTTATTTTTTAATATTTCCATATAGGATATATATATATATATGGGGTTCGCTTTTTCTACAGTCAATGTAGATAACTTATCTACAGTGAGCCCAAAACGACGTCGTTTTGACGCGGAAATCAAGGTATTTTTATAATTATAATTTATTTCAGGGTTATAATAGTCTTTTTTCATTATAACTTTTTAATTTTTTAACTCAAAACGACGTCGTTTTGGGAGCGAATGTAGATAACTTATCTACATTCACTTTAGAAACATTAAAGCCATATATATTTATATTTTTTAATATATAAAAATGGGTCAGCGTAGTGAACCCGTGACTCTCCGATTGAACCCGTGACCTTGACCTCGGCCGAGTCCGGGCCGGATTTTTAAACACTGCTTTCAATTATACAAATTTAGGTGATGTTGGGTTTAATTTTTATTTTTAATTTCATCTAATATATTTTTACTAATAGTTTAAATTAATTATTAATTTTTTTTCATATTGTAAGCAAGAAATATAATGATATTTTTATAATCATAAATAAAAGCATGTCACAGGAAATATAAAAATGAAAACCAAACCAAAAACTACCGTACTTTCTAATTAAAAATGGCAATAAGTATTAAAAAGGAGGCCCAATTTTCTAGAATTTTGTGAAATTATTATCTTTCTTCTTTCTTGCTTGTTGGTTAGGTTTGTCAGCTGAAGAAGGTGAAGCAGGTTGTGAATTGAGAATTTGTGAAAGGGAATGGGTATCAACATAAAGGGGCAAGTAGAGAAGGTGAATGTGAAGGAATTGCGTTACAGTGAATTTGCGGAGAGATATATGGAGAAGAACCACCCCGTCGTGCTTACTGGACTAATGGACCATCATTGGAGGGCTTCCACTGATTGGGTCAACCCTGATGGTCAACCCAATCTTCAATTTTTCTCCACTCATTTTGGGTCTTCTAAAGTTCAGGTATCCTCCATTTACTTCTTGTGATGCACCCCATCAATGTTTTAAGACATTTAAGCTTTAAAATGGAGCAAAGTTGGGATATTTTTAATGATTACAATTGATTGGGATGAAGTGGGTTTTCATTCTGTTATTACTATGGATTCAGGAATGTCTTGATTCTATTGTGTGCTTTTTGTAAGTTTGGTTTGTTGGATATAATAGATTTGGTGATTATGGATGTTTGTACTCAAAGAATATGATTCCTTTAATTCATTGAAAAAAAGAGTGAATTGCTCCAAGCTGATTAAAATTTTGTCAAACGAAGGTTGCAGATTGTGACATCAGAGAATTCACTGATCAGAAAAGAGAGGAGATGTTGGTCTCAGATTTTGTAGGACGTTGCCTTCAAGTTGAGGGTTCTGCAGTTCAGTGTAATAATGAAAATCCTACATGTGATGGTCACTCTGTATCTGTACCGTATTTGAAGGATTGGCATTTTGTAAAGGTATGCCTTTTAGCTTTTCATCTCTTCTCCATTCATTAGTGTAGCGCCTATCCAAATATAGAGATGAAATCTTTGAAGGGTCATTTGGTGTCCCTATACAAATATAGAGATGAGCTTTATGTGAAACTTTGTATGAAAAACCCATCCTTGATTTCTTTTTCAACTCATTTTTAAGTGGGTACCAAACTTAGTATAAAAGTTAAGGTTTTGTTCTGTCTCCCTTTCAAAGATGTCATCTCATCGTTCATGTCATCAATCTGAATGATGCATGAACATGGGAAGCCGGGGCGGTGTGCGTTGTGTATTATAAAATTGACCATTTATCACTCCCATTCACTTTTGGTTCTTAATCAAGGCTTTTGTGCAAATGAAATTGTTTTGGCACTGTTGCTTTGGTTGAATTCTAATCATAAATAGAATTTTTACGTGTTTCTTTTGCTATTCGTTGCTACTTGCTAGTACAAGCTCCCCATGTAATCAATCTGTGAACATGATAACTTGTGGCTTTTTAAGATGAACACACACCATTAGCAAGTGCAAATGGAAGTTAAAAAATAACTATCATGTTTGGTCCTTTTGGCATAGAGAATATTCTTGTAACCTTGTTACATTAGAGCTGTCATGTGTTATATTCTTGTTTGTACAGATGACATTTTGCTTAGTAATTTCTTCTTTTCTCACTTTGGCAGGAGTATCCAGATTATGTCCCATATGTCACTCCTTTGTTCTTTTGTGATGATTGGCTCAACATGTATCTTGACAACTTCAGAATGCATACAGATTCTGACACATACCAACAAAATAAGGAAATATGTTGCTCTGACTATCGATTTGTTTACATGGGGATGAAAGGTGTGATTATAGGTCTTATAAATTCTTCTAGTAGCAATCCATATCATATGATTATGCACTTCCCTTTACAGAGAGATGAACAACCCACCGTTAACTCCTTCCTTTCAATTCTTCTGGCAGGATCTTGGACTCCTCTTCATGCTGATGTTTTCAGGTCCAATAGCTGGTCAGCAAATATCTGTGGAAAGAAGAGATGGCTTTTTCTAGATCCTTCCCAGTGTCATCTTGTATTTGACAGGCATGAATGCATTTCCCAAATAGAAATTAATGACATTTTTTCTGAATAAGAAGTTGGGCACCGTGGTAAAATATACAGATCCATTTAGATCTATAAATATTGTCTTTTTTTTTTTCAAATTACCTATCAACTATGCTTTACTATTGACCTCCACCTAAACCCTCGTACCTCCCATTTTCTTTCTTTGTTTTGGTTTTCTCTCCAAAAGAGTCATTCTTGATTTATTTATTTATTTATTTTTTTGAGGGGAATGGGGATGGGGGTGAGAGTGCTTTGATGTATTGTCTTTCATATCTGTCATAACTAAGTTGTTTTCAGCTTTGATTCAGGAATATGAAAAGCTGCGTATATAATATTTTTGATGAAATATCTGACTCAAAATTTCCTGGTTTTAAAAAGGTAAATTTCGAGTTTTCATTTTCTCATAAATCTTATTGATTCCAATAACACTCTTCTGCTACAACGTCCAGTGTGTTTGTATATCTATGCAGGCTATCTGGTTAGAATGCACACAAGAAGCAGGTGAAATTATATTTGTTCCCAGCGGATGGTATCATCAAGTTCATAATTTGGTGTGTTCTGTTCCCTACTTGGATTGCTGTTATATCCCGCTTGATTTTGAAAGGCTGGCCTACAGTTCCTTTAAAGAAGGAATATTTTCATATACCAAATAAAGTAATGATTGGGTTAAAGTAATACTTATATTCCCATTTGTTTTGGCCCCAGAAAAATGTATTGGCACTATTTGCTTCTTAGATTGTGCAGACTGCAAGAAACTACACATGCTGTTGTTTATTTTTTTGATGTGTTCCAAATTGAATTTTTGTTTGACTTATGCATCTCTGTTTTGATGTTCTAAAGGAAGCTAACATGCTGCTAGTTGCTACTCTTTGTTGTGAGTGCTGTATCAAAACTTATAAATGAATGTTGATTTTTGAGGTAGAAAACCCAGGTGAACTAGTAATGAAAAAGGATGTGGTTTCCAGGAGTTTGCTGTCAGGATCACTGGCATACAGTGATTAATTCTCTCTGAATCTTTAAAAAGATGATGGTTAGTTGGTTGATTGGATAAGATGGTATAAGCAGGATAGTAACACAATTAGTATAGAAACTGATATAGCTTTTGAAAACATGGACTTCCAGAACGAATTTAGATTTTCAGTCTATGCCAGCTTTATCATCAGATGGTTCTTTCCTGGATATTCGATATGATCTGATCATTTGATGGTATCTCTTATGTTTTCAGGAGGATACGATATCTATAAACCACAATTGGTTCAATGCCTATAACCTTTCTTGGGTGGTAAATTGAGCAATGCGATCAAGTACATATTTGAGAGTCAAGCTCAAGGATAAATATAATTGAACTAAGTTTATCTCATGACTTTTCATTCTATGACAGTGGAATTTACTTTTAAGGGACTACAACGAGGCCAAGGAATACATAGAAGACATCAAGGATGTATGTGATGATTTTGAAGGTCTCTGCCAGCGCAATCTTGCTGCTAACACAGGTGTAGTATATATGCCGGCTGATTGCTTTTCCCTATCACCTCTCATGAAATTTTCAAATGCTGTTGGGGCAAACTAAATTGGATATCTTAAACTAAGGATCAAACTCAATAATAACATAATCAATGGTCATCCTAGATTGATTCATTCATTATTAATGGATTTCCATATGATCAATTATGAACAAAGGGTCATGATATTTTTTGTGTGTATTAATTTCACTAGTTTGTATAATCTCAATTACGTTATTTTTTAAAGTATTAATGCTTAAATTGACATAACTACATAAGGCTTATTTTTTGTCCTAATTTTAATAGAAACTATGTTTGCATCGCGCTATATCAGATTGATGATGCTTTTGCTGGTTACACAAGTTGATCTGACTTCACTCTTAAAACAGGGATGAATTTTTATGACTTCTTTATTTTCCTGTCATACTTCACCATGGCCAACTTGGTGTTGCTCTGCTATATAAATGGAAGACATGGAAGTGCTACTGGAAGCTCAACAGTAGCTCAGCATTTATCTATGAATCTTGGGTCTATAAGGAAGATTGCATCAGAGATGAAACACGTGCATGCTCTGGAAGGAAATCATGATTGTGTTGTGGATATGATCAAAACATTTGAAGATCCTAGGTTTTCCAAATTGTGCATGCATATGGGAAGAACTTATGTGATGATACATAAAATATCTTATTTGTCCTCTGATTTTGAGAGCGCTTCAGTGTGTGATTTGGTAGACCTCAATGTTTTAAAAGCATACACTTCTTCTCAGGTCTACACCCCTGAAGATCTCATTAAATTCATAGACAATGCTGTTGCAGAGCTGGGTGATTGTTACGTTGAGTCATCTATACTACGTGTTGCTTGAATGCCCTTTTCAAATTCATGTTTGACCACTGATTGCTCTTGAAGTTGGGGCCAGCTACTGCAGTCTTACAAATTTCAACTCTTGCCATCTGATCTTATGAGACAAGAATGTTATCATCCATGTGGCAATTGTCCTCGTCTAAGTAAGCCCTACTTTTCACTCCTGTCTTTGATTGAACTCTCCTTCTTATCCCTTATTTTATGCTCCATTTATTTTTTAATAACTTGTCTCTATGCTTCCATTGCTTTACTTTTCAGACTGTTTCATAACTTGTATCAGACTGTTTCAACTTTGGCTTGCTATTGCTGCATCTGTTTTATGTTTCTTGGCTCTTGAGTACATAATTCATGAGTCAATTGTCCCTTTTTTGTCTGGTTTGGGATGATCAAAGAATAGTAAATGATGCAGCCATGACATTGTCTCTCGGCTTTCTAGGTCTTTCTTCTCATTTTTGTTTAGTTTACAGGGTTACAATTTGGAAAATGCAGCATAGAAGGTCTTCGAGATTCGTTTATAGCATGCTTGATTGTTGTTCCCACAGCTTCATTGATGGGTGTATTGCCAGTAAAAAACGTAGTTTACATTGGATTTTGTTTCGGAAGAATGGAAAATTCATGATGCATCTACGCAAGGCAATATGCATGCCAGGATGGGTTAAAGCCAACTTTATCGTAGACAAAGTTTTAAATCTCTTTTTGAGTTTCAGTAGGGAAAGACATATGCAGAAACACAGCACCCCTCTATTCATTGTTTTTTATAATATATAATTGGAATAGATTTTGATGGGAGTAGATGTTTCCCTCGAATTGTGAAGTAGATCAATGTAACAGTGGTGAGGCAACAATATGAACTAAAGCTCAATGAGAGTCACCATTGAAGTCTCACACAAGCAGAGGAGGCATATAATGACTTGTGAGTAATTATTTCAGCAGAGTTTCAATATGGAGAACAATGGTGAAGAAGAAAAATGATGGTATATATATAGTGGGGTAAAGATTCCTCCAACATGTATTGCTTGATGCCATAACCATTTTTCCAGTTTTATGGACCCCGTTGAAATATGAGACTGCATAACCCCTCACGTGTAAAGGTCAAGTGTGCATGAGAGTAAAGAGATAAATCAGGTATCAAATAAACTATTTGTCCTTTAATGAGTTAATGAATTGGTCTTGCCCGACATCCGAAAGGAGGCTCGGACAAGTCCATCCAGCCACAATAAATTTATATCATTTCAAAAATTAAAGTATTTATAGCAAATATATTTGGAGTATATATATATATAGGTCAAGATCATTTTACACCAGCGTAAATTACACTCTCAATCTTGACCATTGATCCCACTTATATCTAAGGGCTCTAATTTTTTAGTAATGTGAGCCATTGGATACAAGTGGATCAATGATCAAGATTGAGTGTAAGACTTCTAACTCTTACATTGGTATAAGAATATGCTGTCCATATATATATATATATATATATATATATATATATATATATATATATAAATTTTTTTGACACCGATGTCAAATTTTATTCGTTGATTTTTTTAAATCAACGGTTATTATTTATTGAGAATCAAACTTATTAATTAACTATTAATTTTCAATAAATGATAATCGTTGATTGACGAAAATCAACAGTTAAGATTTAATGTTAAATTTCAAAGTTTGACACTAGCGTCAAAGGATTATGTTCTTTATATATATATATATATATATATATATATATATATATGTATATATATATATAGACACACACACACACACTTGGGGGAAGATAGTAAAATAAGACTAGATGGAGTGTGATATAAATTGGTGGAAGATGTGTCTTAGGACAGAATGGACAAAAGCTATAAGAATGGTGGATGGTTAGATCTATTGTTATTCATATGTTCCAGATGGTCCCTTTTTGGTCATTTTCCTCTTCATTTCCCCCCTTTCCTTATTTTCCCCATCTTTTCCTTTATCTCTTTTCCCCTTCCCCATTTTTCTTCCACACCCTTTTTTATTTTTACTTATATATATATATAATTTTATTTATTTATTTATTTTTGTCTTACTTTCTTACTCTTTTTTGCCTACCTATATCTCTATCTTTTAGTTTACCTTAATATATTTTCTCTTTTAATTGTTTACCTCTTTATATATATACACTTGTTTTAGGTTAAACCCAGATTATTTCATGGACTTATGATTAAAGCCCTTTCCCTGGCTCCTGGAAGACGGACTCCATCTAAAAGAGCCCGGGTTATGGGTTCGAAACCATGATTGTCACCATTCAACATGGACAGTGACCAAAGTGCCTTGTTTGGACAAAAAATTTACCAAACTGTCACGCTAACAGTAAATTTTGCCAAAATGCCATGCGGCATAATTCGCTACACAGTGTAGCGAATTATGTATGCAAGTAATTCGCTACACAGTGTAGCGAAATATGCCACGTCAGAGCCAAAAATGTCACATGTCAAATTTTGCAAAATTCGCTACCCTATGTAGCGAATTTTGCAAAATTTGACATGTGGCATTTTTGGTTCTGTGCATTCTGACGTGGCATATTTTGCTACACTGTGTAGCGAATTACTTGCATACATAATTCGCTACACTGTGTAGCGAATTATGCCGCGTGGTATTTTGGCAAAATTTACTGTTGGCGTGGTAGTCTGGTAATTTTTTTGTCCAAACGTGGCAAAATGGTCACTCTCCCCATTCAACATAACCGTTTGCAACCGCCATGATCATATCCTTGATGACTTCCTTTAATCCAGGATTAATCTTAATAAGTGTCCATAATAGCTAATATTAGTAGATAGGTAATACTAAATGGAGGATAGATCACATTTAGCCATCAAGACTCAAACTTATTCACTTATTAGACTCTTACCTTATCCATATTTATCAACCTAGTTTAAATACTTATTCGTATATTCAATTTCGAACAACACTTAAATTTCATTTTTATCTTTTTTTTAATCTTTTCGTATCTTTCATTTAGATTTATTTACCATTGACCCGAATTAGTTTGGAATAAAAGTGTTGTTGATGTTGATATATATATATATATATATATATATATATATATATATATATATGAGAAAAATATTTCTCAAGTAACTTGAGATATATAAAGGGTTTGCTTTTTCTACAGTCAATGTAGATAACTTATCTACATTGAGTCTAAAATGACGTCGTTTTGAGGCAGAAATTAAGGTACTTTTGTAATTATAATTTATTTATGAGTTATAATAGTCTTTTTCATTATAATTTTATAATTTTTCAATCCAAAACGACGTCGTTTTGGGAGCGAATATAGATAACTTATCTACATTCACTTTAGAAACATTAAAGTCATATATATATATATATATATATATATATATATATATATATATATATATATGGGGAGGGATCATTTGACTCCAGAGTAAGATTTAAAAGTCTTACTCTTCATCCAGCCCTTGATTTCCGTTCATCCAACGGTTATCATTTAGTAATTTAATGCATTAATTAATTATTAATTTCAAATAAATGATAACCGTTGGATGAACGGAAATCAATGGCTGGGATGAGGAGTAAGACTTTTAAATCTTACTCTGGAGTCAAATGATCCCTCCCCTATATGGGGAGGGATCATTTGACTCCATATATATATATATATATATATATATATATATATATATATGAGGAAGGTTATACTTACAACCTATTTTCGTTTACAACCTCTTATAATCATATTTTAACCGTTGATTTCTGCTAATCAACTGTTATTATTTCTTGTGAATTAATAATTAATTAATTTAATTTGCAAAAATGATAACCGTTGATTGGCGGAAGTCAGCAGTTAAGATATGGTTGTAAGATGTTGTAAACGAAAATAGATTATAATTATAACCATCCCCTCTCTCTCTATTATATATATATATATATATATATATATATATATATATATATATATATGTATGTGAAGCTGGTAATGAAAGTAACTATTTTCATGTTTTAGCCTATTTCGTGATCATAGCCTTTAATGCATTATTTTCATTCGACATGAAGCACTTCTCTTTAGACCGTTTCTGTGCGAATTTTTAATATTCATTCCAAGATCTGTCTCGGGTGCATAATCTTATTGAAACCCTGGAATTGCTCATAACCCTATTTTCATGCTTTCAACTTATTTCGGGATCAAAGCCTTGAGTGCATCATCTCTTGAACAGTTATTTTGTGATTCTGAATACACAATTATTTATTTTAAAAATTTGGTAAGAAGAGTTTTGTCATCTTTATGATCATGTCTGCTCAAATTGAATTAATCGAGTAATCGATGAACTGATAGAGAAATCTAAAAAAAAAAAAAAAAAACCTTTGTTATTTTGTTTGTGTCCGATTATTGTTACCCCCCACTTTTATAATGTTAGGTGACGCTTTGACATGATCAACCTTCATGAATTGAAGTTGTATCGAAACTTTTTCTTGTTGGGTACTTTGACAAAATTGCATCATTTAGTTGCATCATGTTTTTCTTTTCCTTGCATTCATTTTTTCCTGAAATATGAGTTCCGATTCGTTTAAATATTTATGTGACATCACAGTTAAGTATCAAACAATAATGTATTTGTGGAATAAGAGCTAACCGGCAAATCCAAAAGTAATAACCTGATTCACCAGTATAGGTGAAACAATTAATAATGCTTGGCATAAAAGTCTATTTTTTCCTTGCAATAAACTAAAATAGATAAACATGTTTGAATTCTCACGTTATCCTTATAACTATTCTGAAGTCAATTTTTCATTGGGAAAAATGTTTGTAAAACACACCAAAACGACGTAATTTTATTAAAAATGACATAACTTTGTGTCATTTAAAATGACAAACACTTGTTATCAAAAAAAATAAAAAAAATGACAAACACTAAATCCCAATTTCAAATATCATGTATCAAACAATGATGGGTTTGTGCCTTTGTGGAAGAAGGTAGTGCTTGGTTGAGGAGTTTTCAAAATTTGTCCAGGCACGTGGGTTTGTCATTTGTCCATGTTTGGTTGAAGGATTCATGAGATTTACTCATCAAACACCATTGCCTAACAATTGAGAAATGCACGTAAAAAAAGTAATAATACACTCTTAACAAAGCCTCTCCCAACATGGTATTGTATGAAAACTGGATAAATGGAAAAAGAGGATGAAAGTATTGACAAGTTTACCCCTCTTCTTGACCACATGTGAGCAAAGTATCTACCCCTTTTCGTAATTTTTATTATTTTTCCCATCAAAATTTTATTTTCAACCAAACATACATCAAAATATTTAACCCAAATTTTCTAGTAATATTTTGCGGTACCAAACAATTTTTTTTCAATTTTCCTACTAAACTTATTTTTTAATGTTTTTTCTTGTAATTACATTTCCCTAGTAAAAAAATTTCTCCCTAACAAACACTACACAGATGAAACAATTACGGATGCTTGGCGTAAAAGTCTATTTACGGATGCTTGGCGTAAAAGTCTATTTATTTTCTTGCAATAAACTAAAATAGATAAACATATTTGAACTCTCACCTTATCATTACAACTTTCCTGAAGTCAATTTCAAATATTATGTACTCATGAAAATCAAAATCTTTTTTTAACTATCATAGGTATACAAACGAATTATTATTATAAAAAATATATTTCATTATCCGAGGCCTCCATATTTTCATTATCTCAATTTCATTTTTCAAATTGAAACATTTTTTTGGCAACAAATTTTAGTGGATATTTAACGAATCCCCTTTATTTGCAATAATGGTCTTACACCTTATTAGTTTGTTCAGAGTTCAGATCAACTTGTTCCTTATAACAAATTGAATAAGTGTTTTCATTTTTTCAATTGTTGTAAGAGAATAATCTAAAACTTACATGATTTACTCTAGAAAACTTACCCTACATGTGGTCATTTTATTATTTATATAGGAAAAATAGAAACTTTAACCAGATTTTTAATAATATTAAAAGTGGAGGAGAAAATTATAAAATAAATTATCAGTCCAAAATATAGAATTCAATATTTCTCCTATAAACTTTGGGTGAAATGTGTATCATTTTAAAGGACACAAATTGTGTCATTTTAAGTAAGAGAAAAAAATAAATCATGGGAAAAAAAGTGAGGAAAAAAAGTTTTAAAAATATGAATTTCATCTCTTTGTAAGAGTAAAAGAATGTAAGATATGTCATTTAAAAGAACACACCTTTTTTCCCGTAAATATTTTATGGAAGTAGATGATGAGATTTTTTTCCCCCTCTTGTTAGAGAACCCCATCCAATCATGTATATACAAAAATAAAATTATCTCTAGCTTGAAAAAATATTAAACCCAAAAATATAGAGTAAATATACTCTTATGTAATAATAACAAATTTTTATTTTCTGCACACTTAACTTGAAGTGAGGCCAGCAAAAGAGAGAATAAAATAGAAAAAAAAAAACATAATTATCAATGTATAGACAAAAGATGAATGTTACATAAGACTGATATTATCCAAAATATATCACACAATAAATCACATTATTATTATTATTTTCTATGTTCTCTGTAATTTTTATCGGCTTCATTTCCTTGTAGGGTAGGGTCTATATCACACAGTGTGTCAATACAAACACAACATTTCCCAACTGTGACGTACCCCCGAACTAGTTCCAAGTTTCAGGTTCAGCTTTTTCTCTCTCTCATTTTCCGTCTTTTTCAATTTTTCTCTGTTGTCCCTTCTTCTTCCTCTACGATCCAAGACCGAAACCGAAACCCGCGATTACCCTCACTGATCGATCTCCTTGTAAAACCTCAAAATTCCCCCAAGCACGCTTATTACGTTTTCTCGCTTCTCTTCTCTAGGGTTTCTACGAACCACTTCCCAATCCAAAGCTATATATGCTTTTGTTTCCACTTCCAACTGCTATTCACCATTGATTCATTTCCCGAGAACAAAGGTGAAAATTTGATAATTATGTGTTGCAATTGCAAGAGAGATTTTAGAAAACATTTATTTATTTATTTTTAAATTTTCATCTGGACCGTGCTTTTCACTTTGAAGATTTAGCGTATGCATGTGATTGTTGGATCTGCTTTCCTGTAAATGGTGGCGGGTCGGGTTTGTTTACGGATAAGAGCGGGGAAGAGTTTGGTGTGCAATGACCACTACAACTATTATTGGTTCTGTGTGGTGGAATTGAATGTAAACGTTTATGGAATGTGTAATTTGGTGGATATAACACATGGTCATGGTTGTGACAGCAACAGCAAGGGTGACATAACTATATTTATCAAGTGTTGTCAACAAACTTAAAAGTCAATAATCAATGTTGGAAAAAGAAGGCTGTTTTATATTTTTTTTAGTGATTTGAAAATTGTTGCGTAGTGTAGTGTTAGTTGCATTGGCAGAAAAGACAGTAAGAATAGAAAGCCGTAGGAGAAATTGTTTGCAAGAGGTGAGGTGAATGGGAATGTTAGAGAAGTCATTGCTTAATATGGTATCAGAGCCCGTGACCAAGTGGTAATGAATCCTTTTAATAAATTTTTAACTGTGAAATTTCTTAACACAAATGGGTGAGCCTGTACATTATTCACCCTTCAAGCCCAATGAACTCTTGTTTGAGGTTATGTGTTAGAGAAGTTTAATACAAAATCATTAAAAATGAATGAAATACTGTTTTGTTTTAGTCAATCATTTCGGTAATGATACCAGTTTAAAAAAACGGGTAGTGAGAGCCAACAACTGATGGACTGCTAGGTCATGTTTAGGTTTGATTGCTCAATTATTAAGAAGAGTTGTGAGATGTGGTTATGAATGGTCAACATAGTGAAAGACAGCCACTATTTTTCTTTTAGTATGCCATTGAAAATTAACATCGGAAACTCTGGGTTAACATGGATTTTGTGTGAAATGTGTATAGTGAGAATGGTGTTTTGGATTAGTAGCAGCATAGAATTAGAGCTGTAATTCGTTAAGAGTGTTCTTAATTATTATTTTGAATAAGGGTTAAGAACTTTGAGATTACAGTAATGAGATGGGTTGTTGAGAATTTGCCTCCACAAGACAACTGTATTTGAAGAAATCAGTACATGTAATTCCTGAATGTTCCAATAAAATTTAAAAAGAGTACACCCCTGCTCCCCCCTCCGAAATTTAATGATAATGTTGTAATTGCAAATTTGTACTTAAGTCATTGCAATATATCATATTAATGAAATTGTCCTTCTCTCCATCTCTCTTTTATCAGGCCTTTCAATTGGCTTGAATGACCGTGTGGCAGCAACCTGGCTATGACTTCAAGCATGTTGGGCGGAGAGCGAAGGTACATATTATAAGTCTTTAGGAACGGGCTAGTTGAGGGATTTGGATAGTTTCAGGAGGTCCTGCTCTGTCATTGTAATTGTGCTTTGTTATGCAAATCATGTAGTGATATGTCCTTGTAGAAAGCCAACTTATTTTCATGTTGATATGATCCTGATGTTTACCATTTGTCTCCTCAATTGAGGAGGTTTGAAGTTTTAATTCCTCCTCCATGTGTGCATGAGTGTATTTTTATTAATTGGCTAAAAGAAATTTGAGATTAATGACGATAATATTATTGAAGGTGGGCCTCTTCCAAAAGAGGTGGTATGACTGTGTTAGGGAAAGTTGCAGTTCCAAAACCTATCAACTTACCCAGTCAGAGGTATTTGATTTCTTGCTAGACTATTTATTTTCTCACCTAACTAGTGTGGTTTTTACAGTCTGAAAATTTTCCTTTTTTTTTTTGTATCAAGGTTAGAAAATCATGGTCTGGATCCAAATGTGGATATTGCTCCCAAGTGAGTTAATGCTCTATTGATCTGAGTGATATGTCTTTTTCTGCTGCTTTAATTCTTCTAGTTCTAGATTATTTATTCTTGTGTTGTCCCACATTATTGATTCTTGTGTTTTCTTTACTTATATTGATTAGAGGTACCCTCAGCTGGGGTAGTAAATCATCTTCTTCTGCATCAAATGCATGGGGCTCTTCTTCTCTTTCTCCAAATGCCAATGGTGCTACTAGTTCACCCAGCCACCTTAGTGCCCGTCCATCATCTGGTGGAAGTGGCACGCAGCCTTCAACTTCTGGTAGTAGTGATATGGCTCTTGAACTTGCTACTAATGCATGGGGGTCGGGGTCAAATTCTCGGCCCTCATCAGCATCTGGGGCACTGACACCAAATCAAACTTCACCGACATTGCGTCCTCGTAGTGCAGAGACAAGACCTGGTAGCTCACAGTTGTCTCGATTTGCAGAACATGTGACTGAAAATTCAGTGGCTCGGAGTGCTGGTAGGACTACGGAGAAACTGGTAGGCATCTGTTATTATTTGTGCTTTAAACTTTTGAATGCTATTACTAGTCGTTTCAGATGATATTTTTGCTGTAATTTATGGAATAAATTGTTTCCAGGTTGATTGGCTGATTCAACCAGTGTTTTAAGATGTTGCATTGACAATGTGGGAATTTATTTCACTGTGCCAGTAATTTTTAATATCTTGCCCTCTATTTTTCTATGGTTTGGGGATGGCACACATCTTGTTAGTGAGCATAGTTTCTGGGCTAGTCAATGTCTTTGTAGTTTTAGAATATCTACGAAATATCTCATCATGTTTTTATTGTATCTTAAAATATTTTAGAATATATTAGATGATCTTTTTGGTTTGAACACAATGGTGTTGTTTGATTCATGTAGCCAACCCCACTTAGTGGGGAAAAACTTTGGTGGTTGTTGTATGAGAGGATCATTAGAATGGAGTAGTCAATATGGCGCTTCATAGCGAGATGGCGCTTCATGCGATCTCCGCATGACACACAAAGCATTGTATCACATTTTGATGGAGTATTGGAGTGGTGCCATTCTTTGTAACCTGGTCCCATTACTATGCTGTTGCTAAATTGCTCAAATTTTGGAACGCCACTATGAACATGTCTTTCTCGTTTGATTCTTTGCTGTCTCTTAGTTGGGCACCAATTACGATAATAGAATATTTAGTCATTCAAGTGGTGAAATTTCTTCCTGCCAATGTGTCATTCCGGTAGAGACATTTCTTCCCAGTGATGATTCATACTGATGGTCACATCTTTTCTTTATGACTATCATTTCGACAGCAACTTTTCCCTTGACAGCCGTACTAGCGGTGACATCTTTTTGCTGAAAATCATTCTGGCAATGACTACACAGTGACAATTATATTATACTAGTGGTGATTTGTTTTCCTATCCTCCAACCCAAAATCATGCTAGTGGTGTTTTTTTCTTTCTTATTTATGAGTCATTCAAGTAAAGAGTTATGTATTGGCTATGATTCACACCAGCCTTAGTTTCTATTTCCAAATTTTTGGGTCTCCTAAATTTCCCTACTGATTGAAGCTTCCAAATGTTGCTCCTCAATCTCTTTATGTTTTATGCATCCCACATTATATTTTAGAGCTATTTTGTTTTCTTTTGTATAACTGCAACAAGCTTAAAGCTTAGTAAGCTTTAGTTTGAGGGAGAGTGTTTGGATATCTATATAATATCTCATAATATCATTATTGCATCTTACAATATTTTAGAATATATTGTGGATTCATTAGTAATATAATTGAGCAAGCAGATTTAGGAGTTGTTTCCTAATTTCATTATATTTTCTGATTTATTGTATTATGTAATTAGGGTTTGCAGTCTTAGTGTATTAGTGGGCTTGGATTTCTTCAGAAAAAAAAAATAGTGGGTTGGACTTGTACTACACTAGACTGTTAGTATAAATAGGAACATTGGGTCAGTATTTTGTAACACATTATTACACATCATATCAATGTTGTTGAGATATATAAAACCATTAATGTAGCCTCACCCAACAGCTTAAGCTTTTGGGTTGAATTGGTTCTTTACATGGTATCAGAGCCTCGTGTCCCGGGTTCGATCCTTGCTGCCTCCCACTTTCTTTCAAATGGAATTTCTTTGTTCGCACAGGTAGGTGGGCTTGTGCATTGTCCACCCTTCAAGCCCAGTGGGCTCTCGTGTGAGGGGGCGTGTTGAGATATATAAAACCATTGTTGTTAAAACGTCGAGTTGACTCGGTAGAAATGAATGTTTTTACGTTTTTGCTTCCAAAATCGTGTTGAAACGGTGATGAAAACGGAAACTGAGTTGACTCGGTTGAAACGACGAGTCAACTCGGTTGACTCGACGAGTCGACTCAGTTTTAAAAAATTTGAGAGATGAGGGGCACGAGAGGATTCTGTTGACCCTAACTCGTTGTCATCCTTGCTGCTCTTCCTTGCATCTCATCTGTGTTCTTGGTTTTGTCATCATCTCACGTTGCACCTGTCTCCGCCACTTACATCTCTCCTCCACCATGGCTGCGCAGCCTCCTCCTCCTCCGGCCGTCGCAAACAAAGGCGTCAAGAAGAAGGTTCTGCGCTCTCTTCTGAAGCTCACGAGACCTCCTCCTCCTCCTACTCTTTTGCTTGCAAATCCTTCCGCTTCGGAAATACCCTGAAAAAGATGAGAGAGGGAAAGAGAGAAAGAGAAGAGGAAAAGAGTAGTGTCGGCAACTATTATTGGACCGTGAAAAAAGAGAGTCAGAGAGAGAATATATTTTCAGAGTCAAAGATAGAAACTGACACAGATAACTTTTCATATATCATTTTAAACAAATTTGAAATCTTATCCCTTGCTATTCTTATTATTATTTAATTTTTTTTTTCAATTAAATTTAAAATTTTATTTTCACTCTTTTCTATTTATTTATTTGAATTAAGAGGTTAATATTTTTATATAATTAATAAAAAATAATTGTTAAATACATTATTCTTAATAATTTGAAGTTTTTAAATAAATTTAATATTGATTTAGATATATATATATATATATAAAATATTAATTATACTTTCTTTTTGTATGTAGTAAACTCTTACGTTTCGTTTACGTTTTACGATTTTACGTTTTTGCTCACCCTTATCGTTTCTACGTAGACTCTACGTTTTAACAACATTGTATAAAACTATTAATGTAGCCTCACCCAACAGCTTAAGCTTTTGGGTTGAATTGGTTCTTTACAAATGTAAAATTTTATTATTGGGAGTCTTGATTCTCTTTTTTTCCTTCCTTCCGTACCCCAACCCGATAATTCCAACTGCTATGGTTTGGTATTTGTTTGTGGTAGGGGGCTAGGGGCTATTATCTTATTGTATGATTAACTGATTAAGATCTGTGGTGTAGAAATTCCAAACTTCTTGCATTGAAATTGTTTTTAGGGATGTTTTGAAAGTTGATGTTTCATCTTTGTATTTGACTTTGTACCACTATTCTAATGTAGGGAGTTACACAATGCAAGAATGATGGATTTTCTTTGAGTTCTGGAGATTTTCCTACTCTTGTTTCTGAAAAGGACAAGTCTGTACTGAATTTCGAGTTGCAAGGTAGCATATTCTGCATACATATTATCAATATTATGGTGATTGCTGTTTTAAAATTATAAGCAATTTTTAGTTGACCATAGTGTTGCATTCTTTGGTCATTGTTGCATTTGTATCTATAGATTTGCATTACATATATTTCTCATTGAGGAGGATTGATGTAACTACAATGGTTTTGACTGAAGTTTTCAGGTTTCTTGTTTCTGCTATTTACTTTCCTCAATTATCGTGTGCCCTGTCTCCTTCCTTTTTAATTTCCCCGCTTGAATGCCCTGTCTCCTCCTTTTTTAATTTCCCCCCTTGAACCACTTCAAGCGGCCTCTGGTTAAATGCACCCAGAAACTTAAAGGTTTAATAGAAAGAGGAGGGATATTCTAACTACCAAAATTTTTTACTACCAACTTACTACCTATCTAATCACCATTAGATTAATATTTTCTCTCTCTTCAAAAACTTTTTAACATTCTCTCTCTTTGATCCAATGGTGATGTGATGGGTAGTAAGTTAGTAGTGAGAATTTTTGGTAGTTAGAATATCCTCACTCTAATAGAAATATAGTTAACGGGGCAGCACTAGCTGTGGTGTTCTGCTCAGGGACTTTTTAGGGGTGTTTCTGTTAGACATACAGAGAGATTGGCATGCCTTGTTACATGGCTCAATCTCTTAGTTTGTAGGTGTTTTTTTTTTTTTTTTTTAATTTCTTGTGAGGATGTCTTATCCTTGAGCTTTTTACCTTTGTTCCTTTCTTAACTAAATTTCCTTTTATGTATAACAAAATTTACTGGCAGCACATCTTGTCTTTAGTTTAAAATTGAGTTGCCTATATACATGGTCAGTGCAGTACTGTTAGTCTATAAGCATAATATTGGGAAGGATTTGCTTATATTTTACAAAGAGATTTTATTAACTTTGGGTTCCACTATATTTGTTTACTGTTTTTTTGTTGCTGACTGCTGTATCATGTCCAGTATTATGGCATGAATTTTAAAATGGTTGTGATTTTATTCATTAATTGTTGAATAATTTGACTGCAATTTAGTCTTGTTATCTGAAACTAAAGAGTGATTTCAGAAATATTGATTGTTTAGAAATCATTGCATAATTGTTAGTTGTTTTGATGAACTTATTATAAACCATTTCCAGACCACAGTTCTCATGCTCGCCCTGGCTCATCTTCTGGAATTGGGAAAAAGAAAAATGAGTCCTCAGCCGTTGGTTTGTCTATATACTCTTGCTTTTATATTTGTGTTGCTTCAGTTTTGGTTCTGCCTATTTCTGCTTCTAGGATTTTTTGTTATTATTTATAGTGATATTTGTGTGTTGGTTTGTATTACAGACGATGTTCCTGTGAATGCAAACTTGAAGGGTGAAACAGAAAATTCTTGGAGAAGAGACTATCAGGCATTCAACGACGATGGTGAGAGGCCTGGAATAGAGAAATGGAAGGGGAATCCCCAGCCATACCCTAATGCTGGTATTCCTCCTCAGTACTTTGATGCTTGGCATGGTGCTCCAGTAAATAACCATCAAGGTGATGTTTGGTTTAGAGGTCCACCTAATGGTCCTCCATTTGCAAATCCTGTTGCTCCTGGTGGCTTTCCAATTGAACCATTTCCATATTATAGTCCACATATTCCGCCTACTGGTCTTGCCAACCCCCCTCAAGTTCCCCCTCCTGGGACTGGACCCAGAGGGCACCATAAGAATGGAGATGTCTACAGGCCTCATATGCCTGATGCTTACATTCATCCAGGTATGCCTCTTAGACCTGGTTTTTATCCTGGACCAATGGCCTATGAAGGATATTACAGTCCTCCGATGGGCTATTGTAATTCAAATGAACGAGATGTTCCATTCATGGGAATGGGAGCTGGACCCTCTGTTTTTATTAGGTACTCAAATCAACATCCACCTGAGCCTGGCAATTCACAAGGTAGATCTGGTGGATATGGTCCTGCTGGAAAGCCATTAGCCTCAGAGCTGGTGGAATCCAGTTATTCTCCTGATACTGTCAGACCATGCAGAGTTCTTCTTAAGCAACACGACGAGTGGGATGGAAAAAATGAACCAACCAACTGGGAGGACTCAGTGACAACCAATGCATCATGTGTCAATGGAAGGAACCAACCACAAATGTCAGCTGGGGAGAATGAGCTTAGAAGGGACACGATGGATTTGAGGAGGACAAGTGCTCACGGTGAAGAAGCTTCTTATCAGACTTTGAGAAATCAAGGATCTAGTTCTTCTGTCATTAATGCCAAGTCTCTCGAAAGTAAAGGAAGCTTTAATAAATTTGATGATATTTCCGCAAGGAAATTGGATGGTGTAGCCTCTAATGTTCTAGAAATTCCCTCAAGTCCATCTGCCCCTAAAGACTCCTCTCTGATGCAGAAGATAGGGGGTTTAAATGCAAAAGCCAGGGATAATTCATCTACTAAAAGTAAAGAGGAGCAACGGAGTAAATTTCATGCTGGTATTGCTTCGGCAAACCATGTGGAAAATGAAGTTAGTGCTGGTGTTCTGTTTCCTGAGACAACCCATGCCACTGAAGTCATGATACCAACCACTCGTGGAGTGGGTACTTCTGGTGGAGAAAAGAATTTTGAATCATTATCTTTCAGTGGAACAGCCAGATCCAGGTTGGCCATAACTCCTTGGTATTAACTGCTGTAATTGTGCTTCATTTATCTTGGTGAAAGTATTAAAATGCTTATTCACAGGAAAATTGCTAATGGCATGCAAGGTAGAGGCAATCATGGAAATAAGGGAAGACTCAATAATCAAGATGCTGATAGTCTGCGGAAAAAATCTGAAAATATATATTCTTCAACTTCATCAGGTGCACAGTTGGAGGCATCTAACATTCTTGTTGGGGACCATCAAATATCTGTTGATGCCTACGAAAGGTCTGGGTCTAATAGGCAAGCAAGGCGCAATGGAAAATCTATACAAACCTTGTCTGATCCAGTTGACGGCCATGCACAGGTAATGCATACACCATTTCTATGCTTGATACTAACTAAACTCTGTACATTTAACGCTTGCACACTTTGAAACTCATCAGCATGCTAAAATAAAAGAGTTAGTCAAGCAACAAACTAAGCAGCGACAGGGGGAAGAGGAGGAGCAAAATAGAAAGCAAAAGGTTAAAGCTCTTATGAAGTTGGATGAGTTAAAGAGGTGCTCTCAAGCAGTGGAAGGGTCAATACATAAAGAGCGTGCTACAAATTCTGCCCTACAGAATAATCAAGTGGGATTTCAAACTTCAGAGTCAGGAACTATATTGGACAAATCTGAAGCAGTCACTCCATCTGTAATGTCTAATGCCAATGTTGTATGTCAGACAAGTAATACCAATATTAACAAGGTTGAAAACCCACCCATCTCGTCTAGTGCACCACCTTTAGAGTTGCTAAAGAATGCTGGCAAAGAACCTGTTCTGAATCATAATCAATCAGTGACCTTATGCCAGGATTTTAGTTGTGCTGATGCCACTAATGCTTTACTGGTTCACAACAATGTTGCCTCAAAGCAGAGAAGAACTGGCTATAAACAAAAGCAGAATCTTTCTTCAGAGAAAACTTCGAATGTGAAGGTTGTTTCTACCACCACCTCAGCTGTCTCAAAAGTTGAGAATGACACAATGGCTTGTGCTACTGTATCTTCTGGCGTTGTTACAAATGCAGCTAGCTCAGGCTTACCCATGAATTCAACTTCCATGGTTGAGTCTTCTATAAACCAAAAAAAGAAGAATAACAAAAACAAACACAAAGTTGAAGAAACTTCATCTTTGTCTGCATTACTGTCAGCAATACCAAAGGAAGCCATGCTTTCCAAAAGCTCTGCTGAAAGTAATAAACCCAAGGAAGACTTCGAATTAGAACAGGGATCGCTTCAGCCAGCATCCTTGTCTAAAGATTTGAATCTGTATTCTGAGCAAAATAGATATTTAGCAAATGAAGAATCCCATGGTAGAATGAATACCCAGTTGAAATCACAGCATTCTCGTAGGATGCCAAGAAGTATGCAGGCTAATAGACAAGCAGAGAAATCCCATGGGAGTGATGCTGTGATGTGGGCACCTGTTAAACCACAGAACAAGACACAGATCCTGGATGAATCAAGTGAGAAAAGTAATCTTGAGGTAATTATTCCTGTAAAGAGTGATCAGCAGGTGCATAATCTAAAAAATAAGAGGGCAGAAATGGAGAGATATATTCCAAAGCCTGTTGCAAAAGAAATGTCTCAGCAAGAAAGTTTACAACAAGTGGTGTCATCAATAAGTCAGGCTCCCACAGATGAGAGTGTTGAACGAGTTGATTCTGGTTCTCAAGGCCCCCAGACCACTCGGCATACTAATCCAGCTGTTGGAAAAGTGGGTTTTGGAAGGAATTCTAAAACTGGAAATGGCAGGCGGACTAAGCAGGGAAAAGCAAATGGATCATGGCAGCTACGGAATCCGACGGAATCAACTGATATTCATGACATGCAGGATGGAGTAAATCATGGTTCAAACTCAGATCAAAATACTCAGATATCAATGGAATGTCAGCAAGCCCAGCTGTCTGAAACAAGCTTGTTGAAAGGACAAACAAAGCATTTTAATGATTCTGATGAACCTTATGGTTCAAACAATCCTGACAATTGTGATTCAGCTGCTCTGGTTTCCATTCCTATTAAAGATCTTGTAGCAATGGACAAGGAGAGACAGGTTCCTTTCAAAGGACCCAAGGAGGGCACAGGGGTGAACCATGATGTTGATCAGATGAAAAATGCAGGGGACAGAGAGAAAAATGAAATGCTTTTCTCATCCTCCGAGCACAATCAACTAGATGTTGGTGCTGCTTTTCCGGAAAATCAAAGTGTTGGAGAACGTATGACATCTCACTGGCAACCCAAATATCAGACATCAAATAATCAGAGAGGAAACAAACCCAAAGATCAAAATGTTGGTGCATGGGTTGATCGAGTTAACAAGGAGGAGTCTACTGCTCATGTTGGTGTATCATTTCTGGATGGCTGTGGCAAGGAGTCTAAAGCTCTTGTTGCCCAACACCCGCACGACCAATCAGTCCCTGGAAAGAGCAAGGTTGGAGAAGCTCCAAATTTAGGGAAATCAGAGACTAATAGAGAGAAGAGAAATGCTCCACCAAAAGGTTGTCCGCACTCCCCAAATCAGGTAGTTGGCTCGAATGGGCAGGCTCCAACAAGTATGAATCTTGGGCATGAACAGCGCCCATCATCTGGGTTTCACAAAAATGGAAACCAAAATCGTTTTGGAAAGGGACATGAATCTCAAGGAGATTGGAAATCACCTGCGCAAGATAACAGACATCATCATAACCAGCCTACAAACTGGGAAAGACAAGGTCCAAACTTGCATCATCAGTACCGCCGTGTTGTGCCATATGATGACAGCAAATCAGGCAGCCTTGAACGACCTAAAGATGGTAGTTACCCCGTCGGAGGAAGATTTAGGGAGAGAGGTCAAACTCACTTAAGAGGAAGTGGGGGAAGCTTTTCTGGACGCTAGTTAGAGTGGTGTTTTTGATTGGAAGCTGTTGATAGAGTAGTGAATAGACTCCAAGATGGTCTCTGTGTTCCATCAGAAGCCATGCATACGTTTACTACTGCGTTGGTTAGCGATATTAAGGTACATGTAGTCTTAGGTTTAGAGTTTTTTAGGGACTGGGGGATAGGAATAGTTTGATTGCTAGTGCCCTGTGCTTTATTATTTTACTTGTGTATCTGATGAAAATAGTAATTTGATGGCATTTTGTTTTTAATCGATCCCTTGAAATGTTTCGTCGAGCCTAGTACCACCTTGTGAACACGACGGAACCAGAGAGAATTTTAGGTTTTTCGTTTGCCGTTGTGCAATTGAACCACAGAGCTCTATTTATTTCCCCCGTCCCCCTCGTTAAGTAATTAAGAAGATTAATAGGCTATTTTTAAGAGGATTTTTTTAACATTTTGAAGGTAATGACTAATGTGTTGTTCAGCGATATATAAGCTTGATGAGTAAATTTTTGGAGGAGGGATGGTTTGAAAAGCTAATGCGTCATTTGGAATGAAAAGTTAAATGATGACGGGAAAATTTCTAGCAAGTTTGCTACTCGTAATTACTTGACGCATTAACATAAAATAATTGTATTGTAAGAGCTAGTTTGACATTTTTTTAAGCTGTAAGTTAAAGTTGAAAAAAGATGCTTAAAAAATAAAATAAAAAACTGTTTGGTGATTATATAAAATTTTTCTAATGGTTTTGGAGGAGGGAAGATGAAATAATTTGTTATTGGGATGAATTATTAAGATAAGGAGTAAAATTGATAAATACAAATTTAGGGTAACTAATGAAATTGAAAAATAAATATGAAAATTCTAAAATGCTCGTGTATATCTTAAAAAAAGTTGTTCTTGGTAGCTTTTAGAAAGAAAAAAAAACTCTTTTTATAATAAGAGTTATTATAAAAATATGTTTGATTAATCTTTAATTTATAAATAGAAGAGAAATTAAATTTTTTTTGCCAGAGAGGCAGTAAACTGTAATGGACCATTATGGAAGTAGACTCAATAGTGCTAAGCTAAGATTTTCTGTATTTCGTTACTTGTTTTTTGACAAATGCTATGTGGAGTGATAAAGACTCTCTTCGAAAACCTATCTCATAGCCAACAAAGGTGGTACAATTGGTTAAGAGTTTGGTCCATATCTTTTAAGGGTGTTTGTTCAAACTTCGCTTGTCAATATAAAAATTTTGTTGGTAGATATTACATGGTACTTTCCGGAAATTCTCAAAAGAGATTAGAGAATTTTTTTTGACACTAATGAAATATCGACATCTAATCTCACTTACATTTTTTCTATATTTTCTCCTTTTAAAGGAGAAAATGTTTCTCTTACAAAGGACACATAGTATAAGTGGGACCTACAGAATAGTGGAGAGAAAAAAAAATTCAAAGTGAGACCCACTTATACTATAAGTCTTTGGTAGAAGAAAATTTTTCTCCAAGGAGAAAATGTTTTCCCTGAAAAAGAAAAAGAAAACCTATCTCATAAGTTTTTATCATCCCGGTTTACCTTTAGTGTTGCCAATTTGAAACATGGTTACAATAATTATATAAGATTTTTTTTTTTCTGCAGTTTAAAATATTATTTTAGGACAAAAATTAAAGTATTTTTATAATCATGATTTATTTAAGAGTTATAATAAAATTTTTTAATCTCAAGAAAATGAACCGTGCGAAGATAAGAAAAAAAAAAAATTGTATATATGAGTATCGTGAAACTTTGGAAACATTAATCCCATAAAACAAAAAATGCAAGAGATAGGGGTGGGAGCTGTGTGACATTATTGCTTCCGCTATCATCTTGTTAGGCTCCTACGTTAGGGTTTTGTTCAGCGATTCTGCTTTGCATCTCAATTTCCTTATCCACACTACACTCTCCTTCGATACGGTACTTTGCTTCTCGCCGACATAATTCGTTTTTTTTTTTTTCCGTTTCCTCTTCGCACGTTGTTATTAATTATCTTGAATTCGTTGAGTGAAGTTATTGGTCTTATGAACACTACTTATCCAGAACCCACAAGTACCCGAACACTAGTGTAGTTGACATTCTGGTTCTTTTCTTCTTCGAAAGTCTGTGACAATGACTGAATACATTCAATTATCAAATTCGAAATGTTATACTGTTCTAATTTTGTTCAATTTGGCTTCTAAATTTCAGTATGCTTATTTATCATTAACTCCATTGTTGGTGCTTGTTGAATAGGTCCGGTTTATTGAGTGTCTTGGGTAAAGAATAAAGGCATAAAATGGCTCTATTAGCCCATCAACCGCAGGTACTTAATAATAATTTTACATTTTCATTTTTTGGCCTAGAGGGCCTCTCGGTGTATTGTGTTTACTATTTACTTGTAATTTTTATCTTCCCATTGGTGTCAAGTTTTATGCATATTACTAGGCGGGCATTCAAACTAATGGCTAATAGTAATGTCAATGTCAAATCTTCGCCTGATTGCTATATGGTTAAGATTACTTTTCATTGCAGAATGAGGCTCTCATAGTTTAGTTTCAACGCAATTTGTATGGCCAGAGATATTTTCTGGTGACAGGGATTCAACTGTCGTATCGTATCAAATTTAATTATTGGAGCATCGAGAATATCCCGAAGTCTGTACATCAGAATTTTATTGAGAGCTGAGGCTATATACATCTCTCTCTCTCAAAGTCTTGCCTGATATGAAGTTTAATAAGTCCTTTTGTCTGTTTTACTGGGTGTTATGTGTTTTTTTATAAGATATTGATTTTTCCGGTCACATGTTCACATTTCAAATTCCTGGTTATTTGAATTGTGAACTTCATAGATGATTTGTTTTCTTATCTCCAGGGTTTGTATGTGACATCTTCTTCGAGGCGTTTGTCATGGAGCAAAAGGCTGAAGTTGAAGCAGTGTTTGACAAAACATCACATGATTGGAAGAACTGATTGGCATCACCTATTAAAGCACAATATTTGTTTAAGGTGGTGACATGTTTGTTTCCTTGTGGTGGAAACTAAATATGATCTTTGGTGTCTGATTCACTTTAAGAAGTTTAGAACTAGTTAATATAATGATAGAAGTATCTTACGATATGAGGTGTCCCTATGAGAAGAGTTGTTATAATCAAATTTCAATACAACTCTTAGGAGCCTCCTTGAAATAAGATTAAATAAAGTTACAAGTCTTGATGAACCAATTATATTTATATTACTCTTGAAGTAATGAATTTTTCATCCCCAGATAGTTTTCTTCAGCTTAGAATCAGAGGTTCATATTATGCAAGGAAGATGATTTTTTGAGACAGAAAAACAAAATGGAGCGTGTAAACATTACTTGCACCAAATGTTTGATGAAGTGCTTATGTGTCTTCTCTTTTGTTTCTAATAGCAGTATTAAAATTCAGATTTATTGGTTTCAATATTTCAAATTTTTTTTTCAGTTGTTTGCCCTTGGGATTGTTGCACATAGTCACATACTGAAACATGCATGAACTGAATGACATGACCTTTTATTTCTGCTTCATGTAAAGGGTTTATTGTTTCCAGTGTAGGGCCTCCTTGTTTTTGTGTATCCAAGCTCAAACCTTTGAGGATTTCAGGCTTCCAAGGCAGTGCCCAAAATGAATATTCAGGAATCAGGGCTAATCGATTCAAGGTGCCTAAGACTTCTATTAGACTAGAAGAGAGTGGGGAAGCCCACAATGTTCCACTCTCTTATGCATCTGAAGCAAATGAGAGCCTTGCAACATCTTCTGCTATTCATAGACTTTTTAGAAAATGGCTAACAATGCTGCGCACACAACCATCAAGTCAAGAAGTGGAGGAAATTTTTGGAGAAGCAACTCCTGGGGTTTCACCAGAAATTCTACAAGGGACTCAGAGTAAGGAAAGAGGTGAGGTTTTGAAGATGGCGTGGTCTCATTTTCTGGCCCTGGATGCAACAATAAAGATTCCTTTATTGGTATTGTAAGTATGATGGTTTTCTCCTCCCTGCTGTTATGCTATCTTTGTGAAAGGAGTATGTGGGTGCATTTTTTATTGTACCATATGCATATTTTTGTTATTGTGGTCTTCAAGTTAATTTGCTGTCTGGTTGTCACATATTTAATATCATCATGCGTCAACTTGGATGTCTTGATTGAAGCAAACTTTAGGTTGGAGTTTGTGGAGAAAATGAATGGAAGGGGAGTGTATGACTTGCTTACTGCTTGATCAGTATAGTATGTAACTAGCTTCTGCATCGTTGTTCAACTTTTCTTTCCTTGTACATAATATCAACAACATTGATTGCACAATAATGCTTCATGCTTTTATGCGTCTTCTAATTTTGTCTTTTATCTGCAGTGTTCCTTTCTACCTGGCTGTTAATGTGATATATGGTGCTGAAGTTTCGAAGGAGTTAACTCCTTTATGGGTTTTGGGGCCACTCATTATGGCTATCTACATTATGATAATGCGTAGGCTGTGTGCACTCTATGCCTTTAGCTTCAATATGACTGTCAAAGTACTTAAGAATTCACCCTCTTACTGCATTTTGGCTTACAACTATGTTTTTTGCGGCAAGCTCAAAGAAGATATCAGTGCTCATCTTGTGCAGCCTATATTCAGCGTAAAAAATAGAGATTATAAACAGCTAACAAGAGGAAAGTTGAAAGAATTGCAAGAATGGATAGTGGAGAAGTATCTTGATTATGTGGAATCAATATGGCCCTTTTATTGTCGAACAATCAGATTTTTGAAGAGGGCTAACCTTATTTAGATCTGAAAGTATTCTCGAGCATAATCTTGAGAAAGGTTTAAGGGAGGTGAAAGGAGATGATATTCTGATAGTGTTGAAATTTTCAAATGAGATCTTGCCAATCCCATTTTCTGCAGGGGTATTGGTGTTTCGAGCAAGTTAATGATAATGAGGAAGTTCATTCCTAATTCATGTTATCTTGTAAACATTCAATTCTTAGATTAATTTGTAATTGTTTTTTGTCATTGAATCGTTGCTTATGTTTTGAGGTTCTATATGAGATTGATTCCATTCTGCAAGTGGTCATTCGGCATGGTGTCTGTCCCCAACTCTTACACAAGCTTTGTATCATCTACCATCATGTAGTTCTAACTTGGGAAAGTACTGGTGATAAACCTCGTTCTGAGTGTTCATACATTGTTAACCACCAGAATAGCCCAAAGATGATTTCCACCTGGATGCATTTTATGTTGTGAGAAGAGTATATTGCTTGTAGAATGGTATCCCTGCATATTTAGGGAAGAAAGGCGAGATGAAGCGCTTTTAATTTGCTTTCCTTATTATTAATGCCTTTCACTTCTCAATTGGGTCAAAGGGAACAAAAGTTTGATATAGGGAAGAAAAAGTTCGGCATAAAGTTTATATAAATTGAAAAGCTAAAACTTGGGGGTAAAATGCAAAAAACCCCACCAAATGATCATGCATTATTGAGGTCTAAACCCACTCCAAGGTCGGAAAAAATATATAAGGTAACTTGAGATTTAACAATCTTAAGAAATTCAAATAAAAATGTATTGATATTGATGTCAAGGAAAAGATTTATTAATCATTAATCTCCAAGGGTAGCTCAGTTGAAAACTGAGCTTTCAAGGGTTTGTTTGAGTCAAGAGTTCAAATCTTGTTTCAAGCAAATTCTTGAAAATTTTTTGGGGTCAGAGGACATGCCTCTCTTCTTGAATGAGGAATTAGTCTCATCCTTCCTTCAAGCATTCGTTGTTCCACTCTCTTCTTGAATGAGGGATTAGTCTCATCCTTCCTTCAAGCATTCGTTGTTCCACTGGGGGAGTAACTTACCCTCCAAGTTATACTAAAAAAATAAAAATTTATTAATAATTCATAAAAACTGACCCACAAGACCACAAACTTGCAAAATAAGTAAAACTTGGACAAAGCAAGATAATTATGAATTAAATACAGTCTAAATAATAGTGTAAATTTTAATGGGTTAAAATTGCAATACACTTTAATTTAAATCAAGAGTGAATATACCATAATTTACTTACTCTAAGTTTATTTTAAATAAATTTTTGTGCTTTTAACTTAAATCATAAATACGAAAATAGTTTTAATTCACTTTTTTCCATTTTTCTATTTCTCAATTTATTCATTAATTATTCAATTAATCCGGTTCAAGCATTATTATTTTTTATTTTAAAATAAATACCCACTCCCATAGATGAGGTTAAATGACTCAAATACATGTTTCTGGGTGTTATTTGGAAAAAAAAAAGTGAAACTAAATAGGATAAGATGTAATTTCGGCCAAGAAAATTGTTATAAGTAAAAAAAAAAAAAAAATTTTTTGTCTGAAAACGTTAGCCTCGCTCCTTGACAAGAATCCGCAATACAAACCAAATCGGTTCAATTTTAGACCCGGAAACCCACGGTTCTGGCACTCGTATAATACTACTCAGAGCCTCCATTCCAGTTTCGGTTATTTCACCAACCCCTTCCCTATTTTCCATTCACGCAATATCAGAATCTTAATTTAAAATGGTTTTGTTGAGTGAGTGTGATTCAGCGTGAACCTTCAGCTACTATCCTTCGACGTTGTTGTTGCTTCATTCACATATACTATCATGGCAAATACTAAAATCGGTTCCTCCTTTTCTTGTTTAGCGGCTTCTCTCTCTTCTCCTTTCCATCGCACAACAAGTGCCCGGGTAGGTTTTCGTTTACCCTTTTTTTTTTCATAAATATTTTGGGTGCAATTTTCCAAATCCTCAGTGTTTACATATAGTACATGAGTTGACTAAAAATTTGTTGATGCTGATTATTTCATTGATAGTGTTAGGCTTATGTTTTCACATGAAGCATTGTCCACTTTGGCTCTCACTTTTGGTGGAGTGGAAGTAGAAGAACTTCTTCTCCTTTTAAGCCTCAACATTAATTTTTGACTTTACAAAACGTTGAACTTGGTAACTACAGTTCCCCCATTGCCTTGATTGGGATGTTAACACACAATCGTCCTACCTAGGATTGGAAGGGGGAGATATATATGTTAACCCTACGAGTCAAGTCTATGCATGCTCCACTACCTTACGTAGACTCTCTCAAGTTTGATAACGTTGGTTTTTTGAGGATTACATGAGGAGATGTTCTATTCTCATCGTACAAGGCGTCTTTTGAGCATGGCCCAACTCATTGGATTAAAGTGGACAATAATGAGAACATCAAATCAAGACTAAAAGGGTAAATCCTGGTGCACAAGGCTCCTTGACTTGCGAGGATAGGGATGAGGGTCGATTATACGCACCCTTACCCTTACATTTTGCAAAGAGGCTGTTTCGCAGACTCGAACACGTGACCATTCAGTCACTAGGGTCTAGGGGCAACCTTACCACCAAGGCTCTCCCTCAACATTAAATCAAGTCTATTCATGAAAATCTCTGCTTCAGTATCGTCGCTAAACATGATGCCTGATATGTACTAACATTGTCGAATGAGATTGTCCCTGCTAATATTGGACTTAGATAGGATAGGGTTGCTGCTGAATTTTTCTTCATCAGTAAAGCTTGGAGAAAAATTGGAGCTCTGAAAATAATCATTGATGAATAGAAGAAGTAGCTTGATGGTTTATTTATCTGTTTATCTAAGCTCTGGTCAAATAGAGAAGGCATGTAAAGAAAAATGTTAATATTCTACTCGCCCCATTAGGATTGTTAGAATATCTTAACAGATATGTAAATAGAAGGAACTTATGCATAGAACGAATTAGAGATTATAAGGAAGAAAATTATTGCAATTAATTCCTCACTATTATGCATAGAGATATGTGTGTTCTGTTTTGACACGCACAAAATTCCTCAATATTCTGATATTCAAGTCGGTATCTGATTAGGTTTCCGATTCCGACCCATCTCTGTTATGGAAACCCTAATTCTGCTGTGTCCATTTTCTAGCTGCCGTCTTCCTTGCCGCGCCTCAATACTGGCAAGCCGTTCCTGCCGCACACCCTTTCAGCAGCCTTCTGCTATGCCGTGCCTCTTTTTGGCAGTTCACTCTTGCTCTGCGCCTACTTCCTGCAACAGTCCCACATTTTCTGACCAGAGGAAAAATTTTCTGGTGATTTTTCCGGCCGGTAACCACTGGATCTGGATCGGCTCCTCACGTCTGGCTCTGTTTTGCCAACTGTACATTTCAGTGGCACTGCAAAGAAGAAAGAAAGAAAATTAAGGAGAACTGCTGAATATACATTTCATAATTGGATCTTTCCCCAAATAATCTTTTAAGATAACCTCACACCACGATCTTCATAAAATATATTAGGAATGTATGAAATAAGGAACTTGGTTTTTGTTTATGTATTCCACCTGCAGTAATGTAATTACCAACTAAAAATTATCAATAACCAATGGTGCAGTAAGTATGAGAAAAGAATTGAGTTGAATTTGTGTGTCATGTTCTGCTGGAAAATGATATGTGATACATTTGTTGCAACGTGGTTATGGGCAGTAGAACTAAATGATATTGATTTGGTTTGAGCTGCCAGTTCAGTAGCTATTGAAGTATAGCTAACTCTTTAATTGGTTTTTGAGTTTCCTAGATGTGATTGGTTCGGACAAATGCTGAATTTCAGTCTCTTCTCTATCTCCCTCACTTTTCCTTTCATATTTCTTAAGATGTTTAATTGCTTTTGGTTTATGTTAGATACAAATGGCATAATAAATAACCACAGCATGTGTTAAATGGATATATGCATTTACTTGAGACATAATCAAATGGATGTACGTATTCCAATAGTTTTTCTTGCATTTCCCATTTTTATTAATAACCAATAGTTTTTTTGAAAATTGATGATGATAGGCATGACATGTGTGAATCATTCCATTTGCTACTTTGTGCTTTTCTACTACATATTTAAGCTACCAATCAAGCAATTTAGGTGATTTGCTATTTTAGTAATAATCTTTTTTGGATTAAGTCCATTTCATTATACTGTTATTCAAAATTTGTTACTACTGTATCTTTGAGTATTGCTTTATTTACTCTTTCACTTACGTGATTTCTTTTTGTTTAATATTCAGTTGAGCTTATCACAAGGGTTGTTTGTCAACCAGCTAACTGGTGCTCAGCTGCAAATATACACTAAAGGTAGCTTGTATTTATTGGTTACTTCCTGAATTTTACATTCTGCATTAAGCGTCCAACTCAATTGCCTGTTCTTCATCCTTTTAAGATATATCAAGTTTGTTATGAATGGTTCCAACCATATTTCTTGGATCAATCATATAGTTGTAGACATTGAGAAATATTTTAGGGTAAATTGCAGCCTACACCCTTGAACTGGCCCATGTGTGGATTAGACCTTAGGGGTTCGAAAAGATGCAAATGACCGCTGAACTTCACACTTTTTGTGAAAAAACCCTCCATTAAGTAAACCATCAATTTTGATATTTTTGGAGATTAAAAACTGAAAGGATAGTGCATTTTTTAGGACCCCATTTGCAATTTCCCCACTAATTTTTTTTTAAATTTTTTTGTTGTCACGTAAGGGTAAGGTTGCATATAAGGATTTCCTCACCCCTATCCTCTCAAGTCAGAGTTTCATGTGTAGTTATTTTATTTTTTGTCATTTGGAAATCGTGTGACAATTTCATCAGATGTTTAACGGTTTGCAGGGGTCATTTGCACCCTTCAAACCTTAAGGTCTAATCTGCATATGGACAAAAGTTGAAGGGCGTGAGCTGCAATTTGCCCAATATTTTATATGCACTCCTCTGGATATGTCTCTGTTAACATTCTTTTGTTTTTGCATTTGTGTCATGGCTAGACAAATCATGCCAATTTATGTTTAAACATGGGATGCCGAAGTTAAAAGGAAGGTTCCAGAGACAGCATAATGCTCTTTTTGTTGTCTCTGAGGATCGGTCACAATACACTGAGCTCGAAACAGCTGCTTTACTGTCAGAAGGCAATGATACTATTGGTGAAGACACCTCTCCTGCAAGCAACTCATCTTTTCATTTATCAGGGAGTGATGGAAAACCGGGTTTAATATCCTTTTATAACCGTCCGTACAGAAGAGATAGTGAAATCCTTTTATCGAATTCGGAGAGGAGTCAAAACAGCATATTGTGGTTTATGGGCCCTGCAGTCCTTGTTGCTTCTTTCATTTTTCCTTCACTTTATTTGCGTAAAGTACTTTCTGTCATTTTTGAGGACTCTTTGTTAACAGGTAAGTTTTCTTTGGAAGAAAGACTCTCTGTTGTGTTTGTTCATTGTATGGATTTGGTTCTATATTGCTTTGTCTGTGGCAATCTGCATAACTTAATATTTTTTGTGTGGAGTGTTTTCTATCATATGAATGTAGATCATAGTAAGTTAGTAACACCTCCTTGAATCAATAGGGGTAAGCTTATGATGATGAAAAACTGCAGAGAATAGGGGAACTAATTGTATTCAGGACAATTAGTAAGGGATGGTGCCAGGGAAAACATTTTGGATGTTCAGAAATTGGATATGATGCTGATTGGTTGAATTGTAATTATTTGTTTCTTGACAAAAATGGATGGCAATCAATCATTGGATAATTGGACAGAAATGGAGACTGAACTATAGTGACGCATAATGGATGATAAACTTTGCACCTGCAATATCAATAATAAAAAAAGTTTACAAAAATTAAACTTAGTTTAGAAATTCAAGATGGATGTGGAGTGCCGGGGAAAAAGAGTATGTAGTTAGTATAATTATTGTGAATTACGTGCTGCAACAATGGTAGTTGTGAGGTGATCTATCCTGAAACTTTAGAATGTTAAATTGCTTGTTTTAGATCTTTTTTACTATCATTTCTTCCTTTCTTCTCAGCTCTGAATTGTGCTTTCTTCCCTGACCTCTAAATTGTGAAGTATCTTCTTTCTTCATCTCCAGATTTCCTCATATTATTCTTCACAGAAGCAATTTTCTATTGTGGTGTTGCGGTATTTCTTTTTCTACTTGACCATTTAAGGAGACCCGTAAAACTGGATACTGCTGCAAACAATAATGATACTCTGCCCCCTCAAATGGGACAGCGAGTCTCTTCTGTTGCTACCCTGGTGCTTAGTCTTGTAATTCCTATGGTCACTATGGGTTTGGTCTGGCCATGGACTGGTCCTGCTGCCTCCGCAACTCTTGCGCCATACCTGGTTGGTATTGTTGTTCAATTTGCATTTGAGCAGTATGCAAGATATCGAAAGTCACCTTCATGGTCTGCTATTCCATTAATCTTTCAAGTAAGGACAATCCAATCCCTTTTTGATTAACTTTCTGGATTTTATCTTCCTGGTAAAGAGTGAATATAATAAAGTAATTAATCTGGTTTTGCCTAATTGATCATCTAAATTAACATTTTGATTATTTTGGTTGTATAAATTGTTAAATTTTAATTTAGCTTAGTTCTCTCTCTTTTATTGGATCGAATCAACTACAATATTCAAAGATTCTTTTGGTCACCTTTCTCAATTGATTATTCATATAACAAAGTAACAATTTATTATTAACAGGTGTATAGGTTGCACCAACTAAATAGAGCAGCACAACTAGTGACAGCTTTATCATTTACAGTTAGAGGTGCTGAGATGACCTCACACAACATTGCTATAAACAGCTCTCTGGGTACCCTTCTAAATGTCCTACAATTCCTTGGTGTGATATGCATTTGGTCCCTGTCAAGCTTCCTCATGAGATTTATACCTTCTGCTTCCACAACTATGCAGTGAAGTAAAGAATTTCTTGTAAAGTTTGTTAACAATTTCATCTCACAAATCAGAGCACCCCTAGTTCATCTTCGTGTCCCTAGATGTATTTTTTTTTTTGTATAATTGGTGGCAAGAATTTGTAATTGAGGACTTTGGATACCGAAGAAGCAAATGAGGAATATTTGTAGTTCTACTTCTGCTTATGGCATGTGTTTTGAATGCAGTACTCGTGTTCTTTTACGTGGTAAATTGTTATTTGCACAAAAATTAAGGAAAGAGTGGCAATTAGACTATACATTAATGTATACATATTACATAGTGTGAATCTTACCAGATATGGATGTAAATCTAATAGTGCATAACATATGTTTCTTTAATCGTGAACTTCTTGTTTATTTAGGTTTTAAGCCGTGTAAAGGTATGTTAAGTATTTGTGTAATGGTTTTTTAGAATTTGAAATATTGTATTAGCTTGTATTAAGGTTATTTTATTTTATTTTTTGAAATTTTGAGTATGTACTATATGCGAATTGAGCAAACTCTGCTGGACATTGGTTGAACCAATAACTTAATATTCTAAGCAAGTTTATAACTGGATTAGTTTAATAACATTGTATATTAAAACACATAATTACATGTAGTAATAAATAAATAAATTAACAAACCCGAGAATTCCTCAGAGTACTGTTTGCAGGCACTGTATTATTGTCGAGTTAACTGGTCGGCATATAGTTTTGAAATTATTTTATTTTATTTACAAGGATAATCGTATTCTTTTTTTTATTATTAATTTATATGGTCCTCATTAATTTTACCTTCTGCCTTGACTGCATCTAGCGATGGTGTGAAAATTTACATTTTGGAAACTTGTTCATTTTCGTATTCCGGAGTTGTTTAATCTTCATGTGTTGGTATTATTTTTTAATTCAAGTAAAATTTAGCGTACGTGGTTTTTTTTTAAAAGAGCTTAAAAAATAAATCTAAAAATTGTTTGATAATTATATAAAGTTGTTCTTAGAGTTTTGAAGAAAGAGAGATGAAATGAACTGTTATGAGGATAAATGATAAAATTTATAAATAAAGGGAAAAATGTTTTTGCAGTTAACGCAGATAAGTTATCTGTATTTATTTCCAAAACGACGTCATTTTGGTATTGAAATCTTAAAAAATTATAAGTATACAAATTATTATAACCCTAAAATAAATTCAAATTACAAAAATACCATGATTTTTGCCCCAAAACGAAGTCGTATTGGGCTTACTACATATAACTTATCTACATTAACTACAGAAAAAACGAACCCATAAATAAAAGTTTAGAATAAAGATATGATTGAAAAATAGGGATAGGTTATTCTACCTACTATTTTTTCTGCCTACCTTTGCCTACCATCTTCAACATCGTTAGATCAGAATTCCAACTATATTTTTTTTCTCTCTTATTGAAATTCTGAAAGACTGATATACATCTTAAAAATATGGAAACCTTTAGCTTTTAATTTTTTTCTTCATTATAAAAAAATCTTTTTATGATAAGAGCTTTTGTAAAACTATATTTAGTTAAACAACTGCTTGCAAGGACAAAAGAAATTGAAAATAAGAGGTAATAAGCTGATTGAAGATTATGTACTTGAAGACTGTCAACCAAATTTAAGCGAAACTTTATTGCGGGGGTAATATATCTTATACATTGATACTTGTAATATATTAAGGGGAAAGATATTGTGACAACTAAGTTGTGTTACTACTAAGTGACTATCAATCAATCTTACCGTTAGATCAATTATATTGATCCAACAGTTATATTTATTTCCATCTTTGTATGGTCATGATTTCTCAAATTTAATACTTTATATTTATTTTCACCTTTGTATGATTATGATTTCCCATATTTAATGCTTTCACTTTAAATATGGGGAATCATGACCATACAAAGATGGAAATAAATATAACCGTTGGATCAACATAATCGATCTAACGGTGAGATTGATTGGTAGTCACTTGGTAGTAACACAACTTGGTTGTCACAATATCCTTCCGTATATATTAAACCCAAAATTACGTTGTTTTGAGATTGTAGGAGATAATTTTATCTCATGTGACAGAAGAAACATTTTTCAATATATGGATTAATCTTTTCTCTTGCACAAACATCACATGGTGGGACCCACCAAGTGAAAAAAAATAGGGGATGAGAATTTCGATGGGTATGTAGGAGAAAAATATTCTCTATGTAACATAAGAAGAGTTTAACCCTTTTTTAAATACATATTAATCTAGACTCATATTAAGCGGGATAAAGGACCAAGTCCAATAATAGCCCAAAAGCCCAATACATTGACTTAGTGAGTAAGAAAACAAATATATCATGAGTATACACAATCCCGGGGTTGCATAGTTAAACTTTTTTTTTTTTTGATAACAATGAAGGGCCAAGCCCAGAACAACTAAACAAACAGTTTATGCATGTACAAACACATATGCTCCATCAACAAATTGGAGCTCAATTCTAACCAAGAAGGTAAAATATTAACAGGGGGAGAGGAGTAAAACATCAACTCTTCACCCTTGAGACTAAAACCTAGTTTAGCTAAGTAATCTGCACATATATTGGATTCTCTTGGGATAAATTCCAAATGAAGTTGGTCAATCTCTTGAGCAGCTTTTCTAATCTTGCATACCAGGGAAGTAAAACCGCAAATCTCAGCATCTCCTCTAAGCAAAGTAGAGCTTCTTTGCTATCACTACCAATCCAAACCTTAGTATAATTCAAGTCCCCAGCCATCTTGAGGCCATGATATAAGCCCCATAACTCAGCTTCCAACACAGTACATGTACCTATATTATATGAAAAACCACATTTCCACTCTCCACTAGAGGAACAAATAAACCCTCCACTGGTTCTTATGTTAGAGGCTAAGTTACAAGCACCATCAACAAAAATTCTGATTTGAAACTGGTCATTTAGCTGCCCATAATCCCCAGAATTGAGATTACCTTCTGGACCTGAACAAGGATGGTCAGGGCTGATGCTTCTCTTCATATCAGCCAAGTAGACCAGAATTGTATGGACAAGATCTTGAGGCAATGAAAATGAAACCTCATGGACAGTAGAATTTCTCCACTGCCATAGAAACCAACAGGTCATAAAAAAATCTCCTTCCAAGAGTGCCAAAGCTTACTAGAAAAAGGTTGAAACAGATTGAGTTTAAACCAATATATTCCTTCGACAGATAGGAAGTTGCTTGGAATGTTGTCTGAAAACCATCTCTCCCAGATTTTCCTGGCCACCCTGCAGTCTCTCAACGTATGCAAGACTGTTTCTTGACAAGTAGAGCAAGTGGGACACAAAAGTTCCCCCCATTCCAGTGTCCTGTTATTATTCTAATAGGGATTTTATTTAAGCAGGCAAGACAAAGGAAAAATGATATCCTATACGGTCCTCTCCATTTCCAAATAGCAGTCCATATTCTATCCTTTCCAACATTTGGTTCAGTTAGGTGGCAATAAGCATTCCTCACAAAGGACTTGCTTGGACTACTCCACTTCCAGTTCAGTCTATCATCTGGACTATCTTTGGCAGGTGGGCTAATACTTTTAAGCCTATTGATGGTGTTATCATCTAACCACTTATACAGGCAGCTCCATCTCCATTCCCCTGTAGCAGGATCAACATAATCACACACTTTAAAAGAGAGCTGAGAATCAGGAGGTTTACAAACAGCAAGATCATAAATACTCCTATTCCAACCTCTCCACAAATCAGTCCAGAAACATGTTTCCTTTCCACTTCTAACCAGATGTTGGATTAAATTATCTCTAGCTATGCATATATTCTTCCACAGAGGAGAATCAGTAGCTTTTGAAATTAAGCAACGATTAGGATTAAATTTTCTACCATATTTACCTAGAATAACCTGGACCCAAAGGCAGTTCTGGTCATTCATGATCTGCCAAGCTAATTTCTGCATAAAGGCTTCATTTTGTCTTCTCAAATTAATAATGCCTAGCCCACCACATTCCCTAGGCATACACATTTGCTCCCAAGATACACAACGACCTCTTCTTTTAGTATCAGAATCCCTTAGATGAAACTCCTCTGCAATCTCTCAATTTCCTGGCACACATGAACAAGCAGCATATTGTTTTGCATATGATGATAGGGGATGGCTGAGATAATACTCTTGACTAAAGTAATCCTACCCGCCAGAGAAAGACACTTTGATTTCCACCCTTGTAGTCTACCTTGAACTCTAGATATAACATCAGCATAGTGATCTTTTTTGACTCTACTATGCCTCATCAAGGATCCCAAGTAACATCCAAGGTTGCTGACTTTTTTAAAGCCACTAACAGATGTGACAGAATTCATTGTCTCTTGAGAAATATTCTTAGAGAAATAGATGCAAGACTTCTCCACACTCACACATTGCCCTGACATCTTTGAAAATTTCTCCAAACAGTGGGTGATAGACTCCAGTTGAGATAGAGATGCTTTAGCAAAGAGAATAACATCATTTGCAAACATTAAGTGAGATATAAATGGTCCAGATTTACCATCCCTTATTGGAATCCAGTTCCTAGCCTCCACCTCATCCATAATTAAATGAGTTAATTTCTCCATCCATAGGACAAAAAAATAGGGGGATATTGGATCCCCTTGTCTAATTCCACGTTGAGTATGAAAGCCAGAAGTCCTAGCATCATTCCACAACACCTCCAAATAAGGACTAGTCACACAACCCAATATAGCTTCAACTAAATCCCCTGGTAGCTTCACTTCCTCTAGCACTGATATGATGAAGCTCCAATTTAGCTTATATAAGCTTTTTCTAAATCAATTTTGATAGAGAAAAAGCTTTTCCTACCTTTCATTTTATGCATTGCATGAACCATCTCTTGAGCAATAATTATATTGTCTTGGATGTGCCTTTTAGGAACAAAGCTAACCTGATTGGGGGAAATGCGGCTCCCTAAAAAAGGTTTAATCTTGTTAGCAAGAATTTTACTGAGACCCTTGTAAACAGAGTTACAAAGGGCTATTGGCTTAAACTGCTTCATTAGACAGGGTCTATCAATTTTGGGGATAAGAGCTAAAAGAGTGTGATTTATCTCCTTGATCAGATCCGGCTGACAAAGATACTTCTGCATGTTCTTGAGAATTTGAGCTTTAAGAAACTCCCAAT